ATCCTGTAGTCCTCCCCCTTCTGGGGGCTCTGGTCCAGTGGTCCTGCCATGGCCGCATCCCAAACAGACACTCTTCCAGTTTGGTATTGCTCCTGGACCTAGTAGGGGTCACAGTTCGAAACCATCCATTTTCTTCCTCACAGACCAGTGTCTCCTCCCAGACTTTTCTTTGTAGTCCATCTCTCAGCCCCACACCCTCCTCAGCACCTCAAGCACCTCTAGGTTGGGGCCCCAGGCCATGGACCATCTCTTCCTCCAGGGCATCGTCTCCCTGGTTATCTTCTTGCCTCTCTTCCAGAGGGGTTCAGCTTGGTCCGAATGCTGTTGCATCCCACAAGATGATATTTAGGAGTACCAACCTACTGTCAGTACCAATCAGCTTTGTTCCAAGGACTCAGACAATAGCCTTGGTAAAAGAACAAAAAGACTTTATTGCAGACCAAGGACAACAGTGATCAGCCAGCGTCTAGGTTGGTACTCTCTTTTCCTGCCTTCTTATCTCTATATATAGACTGGAACCACCTAGCCCCAACTGTTTGCAGTATAACATTCTGCCTGGTAACTGTAATATAACCATTTGATTTCTGTCTGGTAACTGTACTACAACCTTTATTTTTATGCCTGGTAACTGTAATGTAATCTTTTGATTTCTGCCTGGCAACTGCAGTAAAACTCCTCCCAACGGTTCTTTGAAAACAGCGCCAAAATTCAAACTCTTCTAATACATATAACAATATATATATGTATTATGGATATCCATATATATAAAACACAACCAATACAGATTTTATATATACATTTCCCAACTTCATCCATAATGACAGAACCAAAACCCTTTTGAGTTCTGACAATAGCTAACTGCAAAAGTTGACAGTTTTGTATTGATCCAGTCTGGATCAGTGATCTGATGTGTCATGGCAGTTCCAGGTTATCTGTGTATATTACAGACCACAAGATAGTGCTATGTCTGCCATCTCAGAGCAGCTTTGATAAACAGTGCACTGGTATGAGTCTGTCTATATAGGGCTTGTAGCTATAATCTGTGACAAAGGCAGTGATTCTTTCTGTTTCATAGACAGTAAGTAATGTGTTTTCACAGTGCTTGGTGCTCCCATGCTATTTTAACAAAATGATTACTCCTAGATTTATAGCTGACAATCTGATTAACACAGAAGTTAACAGATGGTTCAAGATCTGTGGTGAAGAAAATTAATTTAAACCCTCAACATCTGATAGACACTTCAAATGCTTGAACAGTGCATGGAACAAGATAGTTATATCCACATCCTCTTCAGAGTTGATTGAGGTGCATTCAATGGAGGAGCACAGCACTCCCCATGAGCTCTGAATGTTGATTTTTCTGCTTTGTAGGAATCACCTCACCTATGGAAATGAAAAGACAGTATTCCCACATCCACCTCATTTTTATTACAGAACAAGTGTTAAGTACTTAGTATTTAATGAGGTGGATGTGGGAATAATGTTTTTTCAGTTCCTTAGCTGATGGTTTCTACATGTCAAAGATAGGTAACCATATCACTCAAGCTGCCAGCCTACTTTTCCATTGAAGTAAGAAACTAATGCTTTAAGTATCATAAAAGTAGTGATTTTTAAACTCTCTGTACTAGGGTTTCTCATCTAGAGCTCCCTGGAACCCTAGGGTTCTGCATGAGAGTATTGTTCATTAGTTTTAGCTGGAGGTATAATTTAAAAAGAGAGAGAAAGAGTCAGCCTGGTAAACTGATTTGAGTGTTGGACTACAACTCTGGAGACTAGGGTTTGAATCCCCACTTGGCCATGGCAACCCACTGGGTGACCTTGGGCTAGTCACATTCTCTCAGCCTCAGAAGAAGGCAAAAGCAAACTCCCTCTGAACAAATCTTGCCAAGAAAACCCCATGACAGGGTTGCCTTAGGGTTGTCATAAGTTAAAAATGACTTGAACACAGAACAATTGTAATTTTTATGCAGGGGTTCCCAGAGACCTGAAAATTATTTTAAGCTTCATCCAGGGTAGAAAGATTGAAAGAGGCTGCTCTATACAGGTAACATATCTGTATAGAATCAGTGCAAGAAATCAATGCAAGGTGGGGGAGGGGGAATTGGGATGATGCCTGCTGGTTTCATTCCCAAATTCAATGCACTGGTCATCCAGATAATAATAATAATAATAATAATAATAATAATAATAATAAT